TTAAGGTCAAGATAAATAAAATTGGGCTACTCAATCTCTGTGGAACGGTATTTGAATTTTTAAATTTCACTTTAATACTTGTTATGAACCGCACACTTGCAGAGATTTAAATAGAAAGATATTTTCGTGAACACTTTATTTTCGGGTCAACTAGGGTTTCATGAGTTCGGGATAAATAGGTTCATTATTTCTCATTGTAAGATAAGACTTTTCATTATGAATTAATAAAGAGATTTCTTTAGCGGCTTTTTGCTTCAAAAAACCTTTATTCTTATTTGAACAAATTTTCGAACTTATTAAGAGTGAATCTTGTGGTGTTCACAATCTGAGTGAGATTCATAAATTGTATAATCAAGAGGTCGACAAATCTATCGTTTATTGGTTGCTGGATTCATCATTTTTTGGTCAAATCCAAAACCTTGACTTATTGCTTTCTTAGGATTTGGTTTCAATCTAGTTGTGGATTTCATAACCGTCATTGCTACGTGGGTTCACATCAGTTGGTATCAAAGTCGTCGTTCCAATTGTTTATATCCTTTTTTATTTTTGTTGAGTCTTTGTTGTTTGTCTTTCATTGTTCTTCGTGTTCTTCAATTGTTTTGAGTCTTTGATCCATAAAATTTCCATCAAAATTTCAAGAGTTGTTTTTGGGCTAATTTAGAACCTAAATCAACTTCTGTTTATTTTGCTGGAATCGTAATCAATTTTCTATCAAAAGAGTTGATGTGATCCGGGGTAGCATCGAAGTTCCAAAGGTTCGAAACAAATCGAGACGGGGTTAAAGCCAAGTCCAAGACCAAATGGAGTTAATAACGCTATGAAAATATTTCTTCGAGCTATGGAATTCAAAGAGGATGAAGGTAACAAGCCAAAGGCCAAGTTCCATGTTGGGCATGGAAGCCGAAACGAGGTGGTTCAACTTGATTTGAGCAATGGGCGAAGAACCTTAAATTGTCAACTATGTGACCGCGTAGTTAATAGTCACCTGCGGTTGCATACCTACTTACTATGAGTAGAAGGGGTTGAATCTTGTCTTCTATGCGATCACATATTATAACACTATGCTACTGCATAGTAGTTTTTGAGACACGGAGTTTCCAAATTTGGTGACTTTTATTTTGGCTAGGATTCTTCATTTTTGGTAACTTTTAATAATTTTAAGTATTTTATTCCTTTTTACCATATTTTTAGGTTGAATATAAATAGGACTTATTTCATTCATTGTAATTTTAAAAGACTTTGATATTGAGAAATAAATAAAAAGCTTGTTTGCTTTTCTTGTTCTTAATTGAACAATTCGAACTTATCAAGATTAACAATCATATGGCGTTCCCGAACCCTTGGTGGTATTCATAAATCGTGTGATCAAGAGGTTAGTAATTTATTCAATTATTGGTTGATTGGTTCATCTTTTGTGGATTAGATCAAAATCTTATTTACTGACGTTCTTGGGATTTGGTCTCAATCTTGTTGTAGGTTTTGTAGCCGCTGTTGCTATGAGGATTCAGCTCAGTTGGTATCAGAGTTTAGACACCAAAATCAAGGTTATATTTTTCTTTTTAATTTTTTGAGTCTTTTGTTCTTGTTTTTCATTGTTCTTCGTGTTTCTCATTATTTTCGAGTTTTTGACCGTAAAAATACCCAAAAAAATTCCAAGTTGTTTTTGGGTTAATTCAGCATCCAAATCAACTTACGTTTGTTTGGATGACATTGTGGTTGATTTATTTTTTATCAAGAGAGTAAAAAAGAAAGTAAAAAATGAAATTAAAAAAAAGGACCAAATTTTGAAAAAGAAGAAGAAGTTATTTTGTTTGAATTATTTTGGAGACTGCCAGCATGCTACAATTCTTGTTGAATCAAATTTGTTTTTGTCTAGTCCCAGTCAAAATTTGCAATCACATTCATTGAGTCTATCAATTGAAAAAGTCTTATTCACATTCAGTTGGATTCCACAAGAATTATTCGGGACTGAGTTCGAATTCGTTCTTGGAGCATTAAGTGGAAAAAGGCTGAATGGTAAAATCAATAGAGGGTAAAAGCAAAAAAACAAAAAAAAATTGAGTGACATACCAACGAAATATAGGCGAGGCAGAAATATTTTAGATTTAGGATGTCTGATAGGGAATGATCAAATTTAAGTAAGAATGACAATCAAATCAACATGTCTGACGATGTGATGTGACGGTTTGAGAAGCTGTTAGTTGATATAGGAGATAAGATGGATAGACAGGAAGTTTGGATGGAAAGGCTAGACACTAGGTTACTAATATTCACAAGGGACAGCGCGTAAAAGTACTAATGTAAGGAGACGGGATGAACAGGAACCTAGATGGAAATGTATGATGAGTATGGATACGATAGTGATCTGGGTGAGGATGGATTAATGGAGGTTAAATTGGGAAGAATGAGGGAGAGAGGCAATAGGTTTGAGAGATGGGGTAGAAATCATGTTGGAGATGAAGTGAATGGGGGCATGGGCAACATAAAAATGTCCATTCCACCATTAAGGGAATGAGTGATCCAGAGGCTTATTTAGAGTGGGTGAAAAAGGTAGAGCTAATGTTTGAGTTCCACAATTACTCGGAGAAGAAGAAGGTGAAGCTAGCAGTTATTGAGTTTATCGATTATACCATTAATTGGTGGGATCAGGTGGTGACATCAAGGCGGATGAATCGGGAAAGACCTATCAATACATCGGATGAGTTGAAAGCTATTGTGCAAAAGAGGTTCGTGCCTAGTCACTATTATAGGGAACTTCATCAAAAGTTACAAAGTTTGTACCGGAGGTCAAGGAGTGTCGACTACCACAAGGAGAAGAAAATATTAATGATTAGGGCGAATGTGGAGGAGGATCGGGAAGCCACTATAGCTCAATTTCTAAATGGGTTGAATAGGGTTATTGCTAATGTGGTGGAGTTGTAGCATTATGTGGAGCTAGAGGATATGTTACATATGGCCATAAAGGTGAAGAGGCAATTGAAGCGAAAGGGGACAGCTTAGTACCAATCGTGGCCTAGTTCATCTTGGAAATCGAAGTGGGATGATGACTGGGTTGATAGGGCCGTTTCAAATAATAAAACCAAACCACAAAAAGGAAAGGATAAAATTGCTAGCAAGGTCATACCAAAAGTTGAACCACAACATTCTAGGAGCCGAGATATCAAGTGTTTCAAGTGCTCGAGGTGCATTACTTTCCGATGTCCTAATAAACGGGCAGTGAACTTGAGTGCCAATAGAGAAATGGTGAGTGATAATGACAGAGATAGGATGCTTGAACTAGAGAATGTTTTTAGTGGTGAAGTGGTGGAACACGCGGTCGAAGGTGAAGCACTTTTGGTGATACGTGCACTCAATACACAAATCAAGGTAGATGAAGAAAAGCAGCGGTGGGAGAATATCTTTCATACTAGATACAATGTGGAGAACAAGGTATGTAATTTAATAATTGATGAAGGATATTACACTAATATAGCTAGTAGTAGGCTTGTTGAGAAGTTAGGCTTGGCTACTACAACACATCCTAAGCCTTATGAATTACAGTGATTAAATGATTGTGGGGAGGTTAAGGTAAATAAGAGGGTGTTAGTGGACTTTTCGATTGGACGGTATAACGATAAAGTGTTGTGTAATGTTGTTCCTATGCATGCTGGGCATATATTGTTGGGTAAGTCGTGGCAGTATGATAGAAAGGCGAAGCATGATAAGTTTAGAAATAGGTACAATTTTGACAAAGATGGAAAATTTATCACACTTGTACCTTTAACACCACAATAGGTCTATGAAGACCAAATTGTTAGGAAATATGTAATTGGCAAATCTGTGACCAAGGACCAAAATGTAATAATTGTAAAGTCAAGGATTAAAATGTCATAATTGTAAGGTCAAGGACCAAAGTGTCAAATGTCCAATAGTTCAGGGACTTGAGTTGCAATTAATCAAAGTGTTGAAGGCTAGGTCTAGGGTTGTGATGGATGCCTCGAAGTTGCAAACGGCGCGAGATTTCGCTAGAGTCACGCCATGATCTCGCTCGAGCCACGATTGCAGAACCACTGTCGCTAGAGCCTCGCCAGCAGGTCGCTCGAGCGAAGTGGACGTCGCTCGAGTCACGCTGGTCCCTCGCACGAGCGACCTATTTATCTGGGCAACATTAAATTTAAAAGCTCGCGAATTTTTGACGAGCCACAAGACCATATTTTGAGCCCTATAAATACCATTCGTCTCCTTCGAGTTGTACATCGAGGAAATACACATTGAAGCCATATTATTGATTCTCTCTAAAATCCTTGGAGATCAAAATCCTCGAAAAGCTTTTGTTGAAAAACTTTTCTTTAATCTTTCATATTCCTTGGAGATTAATCCTTTATATCTTTCACACCAAGATTCAAAAAGCCAAACAATCTTCTAAACTTTTCAGATTAAAAAATCCATGGCTTTTGCAGAAAAACATCACACCCTGAAACACCAAAACACCACCTTCTCTAAATCCTATAAAACTTCCAGAAAATCCTCAGATTGAAGATCCGGGAAGAACTGGCTTGAAGAGTGGGAGTGCTTGACGATTCACGAGAAGTAGAAGTCACACAAGGCTGGGATGGTAGCACAGATCTGCTAGATCCAGGAGAGTCTTGTTCTCAAA